AGGTGCGTTCCAATAAATCTTCCTACCAATATGACCATGTTGCGAAAACAAGGTCAAACAACCTCTATATGAGTAGGTTTCACATTTTCAATAAATTTCCCATGACTTTACTTCCCAAAAGATATTCTCATCCGGTCTTGACTAGATTGCAGTTGCGATCTCGCCAAGGACTAATCAGCAAACCCAGCGTAAATCCAACACAGGCGGCTCAGCGTACTATTTCAAGGCTAGTCAGACCTCTTTTACATCACATTCTTTACCGGTATTGTCGATGAAGCAAACTTGTATTTGCTTTTACAATCGATTGCATAACTTATATTAAATTCGGTTAAATTTCTAATCTATCTTTAGACATTTAGTGAGCACTGTATGTGAGCTATGTTGAAGAAAAAACGCAAGTTTGCTCTAAAGACAATCCATCTGCAAAATGTGATTTGAAAGCGGATTGACTAGGTTAGGCCTGAAATTCATTTCTGTCTCGTGACAGCATAGCATAGTAAGGTGGCAGTAAAAATTGCACTAGTCGGCTCAGAATCTCGTCGGGGGTGTAGATTCGAGGTCGAAGCTGCAGTCCTTTGGGGATGAGAACATTTTTCGGGAGGCAAGGCCAAGTAAAGTTAAATGGCATCGTGAGGCCTACTCATATGCTCGTGGGAAAATGCAACTATTGTGGCATGACTCTCCATTTCAAAGGAAAAGTTGGTTGGAAGGAATTCCTTATGTGGTCTCATCGGAAACCGAAGGAGAATTGCCGCAGAAGGAAAGCTGTTGAATTGTGCGAAAAAGGTCTCGGCCCACCGTCCTGCAACCCCGATGAAACTGTGCTTTCCTTGAGCTAATAAATGGAATAGATGCCAATACTAAGTTTACCATTGAGTTAGAAAAAGAAAATAAATTTCCTTTTTTGGATGTATTAGTGAGCAAAGAATGTTATAAGTTAGGTAGAGACGTATATAGGAAGCCCACTCACATGGGTTGCCTTATTAATTTCTTCTAGAACCATACATAAAGAGTAAAAATAGGAGTTATAAAGTCCATGCTAATAAGGAGTCC